TCTCCCGAACCTTCCTGAGGGCGACAGCTTGAGACCATAACCGAACAAAAGCTTGAAAATCATCTGCTTAGGATCAGGGCGGGGAAAAACTGGACAGGGGAAGAACTGGACACCCCACATTTTACTTCAATTGCCGTATGGACTGACCCGACAACTGTCGCTGATGCCACGGAACAACTTTTGATAGTTGTTATTCCTGTGCCTACGGTATTTGAAGTAAAATATGGGGTGTCCAGTTCTTCCCCTGTCCAGTTCTTCCCCGCCCTGACCCTAGGTCAATATAACGAACAAAATCTTACATTTATAATAACAGTACCTTTTGTTGCTGTGTAAAATGCGCTTTAACTACAGACAAGTCAATAACAGTCTGAGAGTGCGGTCGACAGCTCGAGGGCAACGCAAGGTTCACACGTTCACACTCCCGCGTGGAAGGATCTGTAGTTTAGGCTACACTGGAAAAATATAATTTTTTTTTGTAATTGTCTATTTAGATTTAAAAGAGAGATTTCTGTACTTTAAATACAATTAAACTGTTAATTGAGTGCATAAAAATGTAGTCAAAGTAAAGTTAAAGTATAGAAAACTATAGTTAAACTGTATAAAAACTACCAGTTATTTCGGACAACTATAATTTTTGACCCCAGTTTGTCCCACTTGACTATATAGTTCAAAGTACAGTTTTACTGTAGTTTATTTACACAGGTAGACTTGGTTTAAAAAAGAAAAGAGACTGCAGTTTGAATTTTGCGGTCAAAATTCAAAAATAGTAACTTTCGAGCCCTGTTTTGAGGAAACTCTTCCTCCTTCCCACCCCATGGGTAACTGAAGTTGTGTTGATTGTGTTTCTTGGGTGAATGTTGCCGGGAGTTGAACCTCGGACACTTCAGTTGCGAAGCAGAGGCCTTGACCACTGCTCCACTGAGCTTCCATGTGGGACAGGGCTTGGCCACTCGACCACATGGAAAGGCCTGCTATCCCCAGGAACTAGAGTGCAACTGCAAGAAAAATACAGTTTTACTGTAAACTGCTCTGTACTATAAGTAAATTTTTGCAAATCCAAGAAGTAATTTGTATTAAGTTTGCCTCTGAAACAAAAAGACCATGAAGTGATTTAATTTAGAGTGCCTTTTCAGTCTTATTTTTCAACGACAGGAGTCGTTACCTTTTTAAGGGGGCTCATACATGTTAAAAGCACTTTGTAAAAATTTTCTTTTGATGTAGACGGATCAAGATTTTACAATTTCTGTGTTAAAACCCTTTTAGATAATTGAGTAAGCTTTATTTTGGCTTAAAGGAAGGTGACTTTGGACTTTTTTTGGAGATTTAGTCGAAACGTTTAAAATTTTGGTTCTCGTAAGATTTTGTTCGCATACTTGCTCAGATCTGTGGGGAAAAATTCAGAGAGACTCATCCCTAGTAGTGTCATAGAATTGACTACAATGGGCTTTATATCTACAATATTTTTCAAGAAAAAAAATAAAAAAAATTTTTTTTAACAATTTTATAAAAAAATTTTTTTAAAAAAAAATTTGTTTTAATATTTTTCTTGAAAACTATTGCAGATATAAAGCCCATTGTAGTCAATTCTATGACACTACTAGGGATGAGTCTCCCTGATTTTTTCCCCACAGATCTGAGCAAGTATGCAAACAAAATCTTACGAGAACCAAAATTTTAAACGTTTCGACTAAATCTCCAAAAAAAGTCCAAAGTCACTTTCCTTTAAGCCAAAAAGAAGCTTACTCAATTATCTAAAAGGGTTTTTAAAACAGAAATTGTTAAATCTTAATCCATCTACATAAAAAAAAAATTCTTTCACAAAGTGTGTTTAACATGTATGAGCCCCCTTAACTTCTGAGACGTTCTGGATCAAGACGCTTCCTAATTTTTGTTGCGTTTAACATTCAAACACCTGGTTATAATGAGTTTGATGCTTCTGAACTAGAACTTGTTTGTCATCTTTGTCAAACTAGTGACACATTGTGGTTTGTTGATTTCCACGATTCCTTGTCACATAATACCTGACCAATATGGAACGTTATAAAATAATCAAACAGATTACCAGATGGTGTTTTAAAGATTTGGTTACATTCAGTCATGTGTTTTTGTTTTTGCTTTTTTTTTTTAATTTTAGTTTAGTCGTGTCTTCTAAAAGTCTCCAATGTCCAGTATTTCAACGTAAACTGTTGGTCTGCGCACTTATAACTTCCGAGGCTCATACATTATAGAGACTAAAACCAACCTTTATAGCTTCAAAATTTTTAAAAGAAATTACTAAAATTTCTAAAAAATATATCTATTCCCATCCTAATATTCTATATTTTAGTTACATTTTATAATTGTTTCTGTGTCTTCATATCAAATTGCAGTGCTTGACTTATCTTTAAACGGGTCAGTACCTGACCTTACCCCTCCCGGACCTTACCCCCCTCATTTTCTAATTTCTTTTATGAAAAAGAAATAAATTATTTTATATTAAATATAAAACAGGAAAGTCCGGGACCTTACCCCTCCCGAACCTTACCCCCTCATAAATTATTGAAAAAAAATTTATTTAGTGATTTTACTATTTAAGAATAAATAAACTGATAAATTAAATAAATAATTAAATAAATAATTTTAAAAAAATTGAAAAACTGTTCCACATTAATAGATAATGTAGTGTGTGCAAGGGCTTAAGGAACGGTAGAGATGTTCAGGTATTACTGGTTTATTGTAAGACGTATCAGGGTCAACACTAGGCGACAGACTGCATGCCGGCTCTGCTGAGCGGCTGCTCTTATAGTTTGAGGGTACATTCGTAAACCCAAAAGGACCGTGAGTGACCAGTTTAGGAGTCCTTGGCAGGGAGCTCTCTAGGCCAATAGTATAGGAATGGAACGGAGTGTGTTTGGGTTAAGATGGCGGCTTGCATGCAAGTGACCAGAATGGTTAGGAATCTTTAGACTGTATTTCACACCAATATTTATTTATCAAATTTTAAAATTTTTGTTT